GAGGAGGAGGAGGAGGACTTACAATTACGTCGTAACTCTTTTTTTTCAGGTAGACTTGTTCTGTGAAGAGACACTTGGCTTTGCTCTGGATCACCTAACACCCAACGCCGTGTCCCCGAGAGCCCAGTTTGTGGCCGCACTAGGGGATGTGGACAAACTGTCACGTGATCAGAGAGATGCACTCACCGCGGCCACCGCCAACTGGAGACTACTCATACAGTAAGGGGCGCGGCTCGGGGAAACGGGGAGAAGATCAAACGAAATGTTTTGTTTGTGATTTTGTTTTCATTGTTCTGATTTTTATATTGTTTTTGCTTTCTGTTTTGTGTGTGCTTTTGTTTTATTTTTTTCATTTGTATTGCTTGTGCTTTTGTATTGATTAGGGTTTTGTTTTGTTCTTTAGCTTTGTTTGGGATCTTAAACTGTTTTGTGATATTTCATTGTTTGTAAGTTTGTATTGTTTACGATTTTCGATTGATGGATCATTTGACTCCAAGCCTTCGGTCAGACAGCGAGCTAAAGAAAACGTCAAAATGAATGTGAAGAACTCAATTAGACGACCATTTTAAATCTTTAAAAAGCAACAACTAAATTGTTTTCTTTGCTTAACAGTAATTGTAAATGTTTACTCCCTCATCGATATAAATTGGATAATTTAGGATTCGACCCTGCCTGTCGGAGCCATCCATAGGCTGAGAGGGACATCACTTAAACAAGAAAAAAAAATTCAGATCGAAATCATACAAAATGATTGCAGCCGCATTTCTTTAATCGCTACCTCCTGTTATAAAATCTATTTCTGTAATTGCCGCAACTCGTGCGAGTGTTTGATTGGATGCCACCACAGGTAGGTCATTTCCCCACTGTTGTTCTCGTTCGTCTGTCTCACTTTTCCCCGGTTTTAAATACTTGTTATCGTGTTGATGTCTGTTTTTTTCACAGCAAAACGAGAGCGACTTTGCAGCTTGACCTATTGACTCCCAAGGACAGGACAAAGGTCAAGGACACGCTGATGGCTGTGGGGAGGGATCTGCTGCACCTTGAGAGCAAGAATGACGTCATAGAGGTCATGGACTTGGTTCGTCGTGCATACTGCCAAAATTTCGAGACCAGGGTAGGTAGACTAAGTTTTTATCCATTAAAAAGGAGAGAACAAAACTCCTCCATATTACAGAGGACATCGGTAGCAGAAAATTATAACTCCCTTCCACCCCCCACCCCCCCCCCCCCAAGTTTCCGTGCATTATGGCCTTCACAGCCTACTGTTCCCTGTACTTATAAACATTACTGCAACCCCCCGGGCAGTACCATTGACTGAAGTGTCTTTAGGCCATTCCCAAAGGGGGGACATTTCTCGTTCAAGTACTGTAAAATTGTAAATGGGCTGATTCATCATGTCACGCTCATAACTGTGCCTGATCTACAGCAGGGAACTGCTGCTTTTTCTTTCCTAATCCTTACTATTGTCATTTTCCTCTACTTCTTTTGTATGTCTGTCACACTCTTGTGACCTACTATTTCCGGGGTGTCTTGATTGTCGAAGCAGACCTTGTGCTGTTAAAGCTAGAGAGGTGAGCAGAGTAAGTCTGATTCCCTGTAAAGATTTCTCTGTGGACACCCACCCCTTGGCGCTCATATGACCTTATGCAGTTGCGAGCGCCGTGAAACCCTCTACTAATACACAAACATTATTGCAACTTGACTGTGACCTGCTCCCGCCTTCCAAGGCGATCCAGCATGTTGCACACTAGTTCAAGCAGTTGAAAAAAAAGGGGGGGGGGAGGGTATACTTTATTTTAACCATAATAATATCTTAAGCCGTGGCTTCTCGTTGTTTTGTGTTATCAGTTGTTATCACTTTGTTTTTGTAATTGTTACTATCCTTTATCAAGCCTATTTCTTTGTCATCCATTCTATTTTTTAATTGTTACTGCAGGTTATCATGTCTATTTCTTCGAGCGGATGGTTGGCGGGTGCTCTGGTGTGGTTTGCTTCTTCTTTCCTATCAAATATATGTCGCCCTTTTCTCCCCTCCTTCTATTTTGTGTTTGTTACTCTCTTGTAACACGTTTAATCTTCGACACTTATATGACCTTATTGCGTTGCAAGTGACGTAAAATTCTTAGTAAAACACAAACTTTTCCCCTTTTCTAAATACTCGTTATCGTGTCGATGTCTGTTAAAAAAAAACTGTACTACCCCCCCCCCCCCCCCGGGGCAGTGGCACTGACTGAAGTGTCTTTAGGCCATTCCCAAAGGGAAGGCATATCTCGTTCAAGCATAGTAGAATTGTAAATGGGCTGACTCATGTCACGCTCACAATTGTGCCTGATCTACAACAGGGAACTGCTGCTTTTTCTCTCCTGATCCTTACTATTGTCATTTTCCTCTACTTTTTTGTATGTTTGTCACTCCCTTGTGACCTGCTATTTTGGAGTGCCTTGATAGTCTAAGCAGACCTTGTGCTGTTGAAGCTAGAGAGGTGAGCAGTCCAAGTCTGATTCCCTGTAAAGACTTCTCTGTTGACACCAACCCCTTGGCGCTCATATGACCTTATGCAGTTGCGAGCGCCGTAAAACCCTCTACTATAAAAACAAACAAACACAACCCCCCCCCCTAACTTTACTTACTTTACTTTCATCCGCCGCTTATACCCTTTTGGGTGTCGCGGGAAGAAAGAGACGTCTCTCTCTGTCGCCAGCTGGAGAGCTTGGGTCAGGGGGATGCCGTGGGTGGTTAATGTTTCCCTGACTCCATCCATCCAGGTCTTTCTCTTTTTTTACAACATGGTATAATTTCCTCCCAGAAACAAGTGAGCCTGGTGGTGACCGCCCATCTCGTGTCCACTCTACTGACCACTGCAGACCTGTCCGGCATCACAGAGGTCACGCTACTGGCCGGGGCCCTCAATACCTCGGCACGGTGCTCTGTCACACGTCTCACGACACTGCTGGGAGATCCTACTGGTGGAGGTGATTGTCTTTGGAAACACTAAGGCGATACAGTGGGTGTTTGGCTGCTGCTCTGGTGTGGTTTGCTCCTTCTTTCGTTTCAAACATCTATCGTCCTGATCTCACCTCCTTCTTTTTTGTGTATGTTACTCTCTTGTAACATAATCTAATCTTCGGCACTTATGTGACCTTATTTTGTTGTAAGTGTCGTAAACTCTTAATAAGTGCCGTAAACTCTTAATACTACTAAACTAAAAAAAGGCGATACTCCTTAGCAAATGCTTATCATTGTTATCTCACGGTGCAATGAACTGATGGTTACACTCACATACATGCACACATCTACCCCCGTCTCTTTTGCCGTCTATATTTCCAGTGAGACTGAGAGGTTCAAGGCCTCTGTCTGTGTCAATTCAAATGTGTCTTCCTAGCCGTTGGCTGGAAGGTGCCATTGGTATATCCGTTCTTCTTTCCTTTCTCTGTGATGTAGCTATCTACCTCTTGCTGTTTCCCTGCGCTAAATGACCCTTATTGTGCAGACGTGCTTCTCTTTGCCGCAAACTGTCTCTTCTTAGTTGCTCTTATACTCAGTGGAATTGTAAATGGGCTGATTCATCAATGTCATGCTCATAACTGTGCCTGAACTGCAAACGGTGAACTGCTGCTTTTTTTTCCTCATCCTTACTATCGTCATTTTCCCTCCACTTCTTTTGTATGTTTTGTCACTCTCTTGTGACCCACTATTTCCGGGGTGCCTTGATAGTCGAAGCAGACTTTGTGCTGTGGAAGCTAGAGAGGTGAGCAGAGTAAGCCTGATTTCCTGTATGGACTTCTCTGTTGACACCCGCCCCTTGGTGCTCGTAAAACTTTATGCAGTTGAAAGCGCCGTAAAAATTCTACTAAAACTAAAACCTTTCATCTCTCAACATGCAGCTCCTAAATGCCCCAGCGGAGATAAGAGACATCGTGTGGCTCGCAGTACCCCGGAAAAAGCGCTGGGCAAAGAATCTACCTCAGTCTCAGCATCTCAAACAGCGGGCTCCAGGCTTGTCGGGACGCGAGGTGTGCTAGTGTTGACCTCCAAGATGGCGGATAGGGTTGCGATCACCGCCTTCCTCCTCGACCGCCTTGTCACAAGGTGATTTGTATAATTTCTGAATCAATTTTTAAATTGTGATAATGTTTACAATTTACCCCCCCCCCCACCCGGGGCGGTGCCACTGACTGAAGTGTCTTTAGGCCATTCCCAAAGGGGGGACATTTCTCGTTCATGCACAGTAGAATTGTAAATGGGCTGATCCAACAATGTCATGCTCATAACTGTGCCTAAACTACAACAAACAGCTGCTTTTTCTTTCCTAATCCTCACTATCGTCATTTTCCTCTACTTCTTTTATATGTTTGTCACACTCTTGTGACCCGCTATTTCCAGGGTGCCTTGATAGTCGAAGTAGACTTTGTACTGTTGAAGCTAGAGAGGTGAGCAGAGTAAGTCTGATTCCCTGTAAAGACTTTTCTGCTGACATCCACCCCTTGGCGCTCATATGACCGTATGCAGTTGCAAGCACAGTAAAACCTCTACTAAAACTAAACTGAACTAAACTTACAATTTTATATTTATTATTACCGAACCAGGACTGGCTGACTGAGCCCCTTTTCAGACCGGTTGTTGTCACATGCAAGAACAGTTCCTCTTGGGACCGTTAGCACTATTTAGATCACTACGGTGTTGAACTGCTTCGACCACGCCTATCAGGACCAATCCGGACTAAGTGGGATTCAGTACCTCTGCAGAAAGAAAAGGATGGACTACGGTACAAGGGAATCGAACTCGCATCTTTCGCGTACAATGGCAACTTGCCTAAACAATACAAAAATATCCCCTCTTCAGTCTCGACCTGTGCGGTGTAGAGTTTTTCCTCTTAGACGCAGAGAATTTATTCCAACGGTATGAAACAAAAGCACAATTCGTTGGGCAATAGGAACAATAAATATCCCGAGACCACCGGCGTCTGTAGTGTTTTTTTTTTATCGAGTATCCTGGTCTGTCTGCTGGGATCTTGTATTCCCCCTCAGCCCAGGTTTGCCCTGTGTTGATCGGATCATAAAACATTAACATCTACATTTTTTTTACTTCTTGATTTAACATACTCCATAACTTATAGGACAGCTTATTATAGCCAGGGCTAACTGTAGCAAAATGTGCTGCGACGGGGTGGAATCAGGCGCTTGTCAATTTTTGGGCATATGGGCATATGGGGTTATTGGTATCATCTTAAAGCCTGTTTTCATTTGCCTTGCTTTTGGTGAAAAAATATCTAAGTTGAAAGAAAGTCAAAATATTTGCAATTGAAGGAGGTCAAGTTCGCCTGGTTTCAGAGGTGAAATTAGCGGGAAAATGGCCTCCAAAGAATTGTAATTTCCTTAGCTCGAGAGTCCTTGGAAACTGAAAATTGCCATTTTTTAAATGCCTTTAATCAATGTTTTTCAGTAAAATCCACACAGAAATGTGTTTTTAAATGGATATAAAAGGTAAGAAAATAAAATAAGAAGAAAATTGCCCAACAGTCAGAAAAATGCCAATTTCTTTGATTTCACTTTTTTGACACGTGCCTGATCCCACCACGATGCCTCTCAAATATTCATTTTTTCACAGTTCGCTTTTTTTCTAAAGTTCTGTTATTCTTTTTTCCTCCTGTTCATCTTCAGGTTTACCCATCGACTCGGGTATTTGCGAACGGCCTTGCAGAAGAGAGTGGTGACACCGGATAAAATGGTGAGCATATTGACTCATGTTCTTTGAGTGTCCAGGAAGGAAAAGAAATCGATAGCTGAAAGAGACCAGTGTTGGAAAATCACAAATGGAAACAACCAGGAAGCGATAAATACAGTATTTGGACACACATTTTTTTCGAAGTCTCAATTGCAATGCACTTGAAGTCCGGTATCTATCATGTACTGGGCCGTTTGTGACAGAGGTTGTTTTGATACAAATTATAAAGAACGTAACTGTTAAAATCTTGTAATTATTATTGGGGTACCTTCCCTTTACGTTTACCACCACCCCACCTCCCCCATTTGAAAGCGTCAGGTTCAGATTTTAGTTCAAAGCGATTAGATCCCTGATTTCAATTTTCTTTGGTTCAGTTACGAGTGGTGGGATTGTTGATTTTCTCATCTAAAATAAAAAAAAATCATTTCCTTTGTTTTTTAGAGGTTCACTTTCAGAAAATTTGAATTGCACCATTTAAAAAACATACATATTTCTTCGAAATACTCTTTTTCATTAAGGTTAATTAATCCAATAATAGCAGAGTCATATGCGAACTTAATTAAGCGTGTTATGTTATATTTACTTCTATGATCGTTGGTATTTTATTATATTGTATACAAAATTGGTGGCAAAACACACCTCCGAGGACCGCCGGTGTTACACAATCTGTTCAACCCAAAGAATTTAAAAATAGCTATTTTAACTTTCTTTGGTTCAACCCAACAGAAACGGCTTCTGTTTCTCACATGGTAACCTTGGCGTTAAATTGGGATAACCGCCATTAGACTGCAGCATCGTTTTCATTTCTAGTTGAGGAAAATGTGTGTGTGTGTGTGTGTGTGTGTGTGTGTGTGTGTGTGTGTGTGTCAGAGACGGTGTCAGCGGTCAGGATCTACTTTAACTTTCAATTAGCGTAAAAGAATGTGGACATTGAAAACATTTGCAAACTGCTCAGGAAGTTGAACAAAAATTGGGGGCATTAAAATTAAAATCTCTGGTAGAGAATGCAAAACAGGAAGATTTTTCGGAAGGCTTGCATCAAAGCTTGAGTGATTCGAAATTGTCCAGCACAAGATTACTTCCCATATGACAAGTCCGAACCCCCCCCCCCCCAACAAAACTACAACAACAACCCAACTCCCCTAAAAAACAACAACAAACAAACAAACAAACAAAAAACCACACGCTCCTTTTGTTTGTTTGTGTTGGTTTGTTTGAGTATCGACACAATGACAGTCATACTTTAGTACTGGGGTAGAATCAAGGAAAACAGACAAAACAACAGCGAGGACATAAAGAAGTATGACGTAGAAAGGGCATACTCCAACCACTTTGTATTCTCTTCTTATGTCTTATCAGATCAACTTCCTGTGCTGCCCCTCACCCAGCGAGGCCAAGGATGTTCCCAAGGTCAAGGTCTCGGTGGAGGAGGCGGTCAAGGTCGTGACCTGTGTGGGTCAGAGGTTGGAGGAGACAGAGGAGTCTGTCCGTCTGCTGAGCCGTATTGTGGAGAGCCTGAGCAGGACACGGAGTGGTGAGACAGACCGGTCGTTTGTCGAAGTACTTCTCCCTCAAGTCTCCCTTCCTTCTTCTCTCTGTCTCTGTCTGTCTGTCTGTCTGTCTGTCTGTCTGTCTGTCTGTCTGTCTGTCTGTCTGTCTGTCTGTCTGTCTGTCTGTCTGTCTGTCTGTCTCTGTCTCTCTGTCTCTCTTTCTCTCTCTCTCTCTCTTTTTCTTTCTTTCTATTTTCCTCTATTTTCCTCTCTTTCTCTTTATTTTTTATCCCCCCCCCCTCTTTTCTTTCTCCTCAAGTTTGAGCAGGACGCGAAGTGATGAGACCGACCGTTTGCCCTTGTAATTCTTTCTGCCCACCCCCCCCCCCCCCTCTGTGTGTGTGTGTGTCTCTCTCGCCTTTTCTCTCTCTATTTATTCACATTTCTCTTTCTTTCTCTTTCCTCCTTTCTCACTTTCTTTCCTTCTCTCTTTCTCTCTATGTCTCTGTCTTTCTTTGTTTCATTTCCCAAAAAAATGAGGGAGAGAGAAGGGCCAGGAGAGAGAGAGAGAGAGAGAGAGAGAGAGAGAGAGAGAGAGAGAGAGAGAGAGAGAGAGAGAGAGAGAGAGAGAAAGCACATATTTAAGAGTAGAGCGTGTTCTCTGAATCCTCACATTAAGTACATGAATCTTCATAAGTCACCTATGACGATGTATCCCTCTAAGCCCTGCGGGTATGCCCTGATAGAAGGAGAAGAAATAGCCCACCTCCTAAATCATACTTATTCCGAATGTCTCGATCAGGGTAGAAAACGAAAACTTATTGTCAGTTGATATCAAGGTTGATCAACCCTATCCGTTCGTCGTGTTTTACTATCGTATCCATACGATGTGGAGAACTCTGTGCCACCACTTTCCAAAGAGGAAATTTACTCGTTAATCCGATTCGTTCGCTTTGTGTAGCGTCTGTCAAAATGAATTTTTGAGAAATACTGCAAGTTTCAAAGAGATCTTCGTACTAGAAGTATTCTAAAACATGAAGAATACAACCCCCGGGGGCACAAAATTACCCCAGGGCGTACGTTCTTGGCTTGATCAGGTTGTTGTGATTGAGTGGTATAACCTGTATCATGAATGTGATGGTCTTGATGATTCCTGTCTGCTTATAGCACTCGGGAGAATAAGTTCAACAAAACTCAAAATGACCAACATCATATTCATCCCGACACTCACCTATCAATGCCAAACATGGACCACGAAAAAGACAATAGAGCAAAGAATTACACCATGTGGAATCTTTCACGTTTGATATTGACATCATCATGACTTAGAATTATGTAAAAAAAAAACCCACAACAACCAAGTTTATGACATAATCATATCACCCCCACCCCCCTCTTCACAGGTGCCAGGCCACGATTGCTGGACGCAGCAAACCCCACAACTCTGTCCCAACTGGTTCGCTGCGTGTTTACTTCCCTTTTCCAGTCTGTGGCACACGTCATCACAGGGAGCCCTCCCCTTGGCCCTCTCCCTTCTCCATCCCCATCCCCGCCACCACGGGAGCAGGTCGGCCATGATGAAAAGACGCACGTCACGGTGTCGTCCGTCGCTCATGTCATCGTGGTCCGTGACGTCACAAACATGGAGAAGGTGGTGGAAGGGGAGTTGGACCAGAGAGGGTTGTGGTCGGCCGGCGATGTGGCGGGGAGCGGAGAGACTTCGATGCTGTCTCTGCCCTGGGAGGAGGTCGGCTCGGTATTCTGCGAACTGAAGACTGTCTTAGACTCTCTGAGAGAGGAGGAGGGAGGAGGTTTGGAGGGTGAATTCAAGAAGTCTTTTGGAGAAGGAGGTATAATAGGTGAAACACTCGTGTCATTTGGAGAGGGAGGACAGGGAGAAGGAGGAGTTGTACACCCTCTTACAGAGGGAGGAGGAAGAGGAGGAATAGGAAGAGAAGGAGGAGGACGAGGAGGAGGAGTCTTCAAGTCATTTAGAGAGGGAGAAGTAGATGAAGCCCGCAAGTTCTTTAAACAGGGAGGAGGAGAAGATGGACGCTTACGCTCTCTTCAGGAAGGAGGAAAAAGCGGAATCCTCAAGTCCACTATAGAGGGGGAGGCAAAAAAAGGGGAGGAGCTTGAAAATGGAGAGAGGGACATTGGAGGAGGAAAGGCGGCTTATGGAAAACACGGGGGAGGAGAGGGCGAAGCCTGTGCTTGTGAACTCGTGAACGAGATGCTATGTCAGATGCTGACGTCAGCCGGGGACGGAGGTCAGTTCTTTGCCGTCACCTGGATCGTAGAACTTCTCGGACAATACGAGGAGAAAGGGGGAGAAGTGGGAGGAGGAGGAGGAGGGAGAGGAGGAGAGAGAGGTGGAGAGGGA